CCCTGCCCTCCCCGCTGCTGGGCCCTGCGGCTGGGATTCGGCGCCCCCTACAGGAGATGGAGTGTCACAAGGGCTCCCCTTCCTCTGACTGTTCTGGGGGTGTCATTTAGAACATAAGAACGGCCGTACTGGGTCAGACCAAAGGTCCATCTAGCCCAGTATCCTGTCTGCCTCCTGCCCTCCCCTCTGCTGGGCCCTGCGGCCGGGATTCGGCGCCCCCTACAGGATATGGGGTGTCACAAGGGCTCCACTTCCTCTGACTGTTCTGGGGGTGTCATTTAGAACATAAGAACGGCCGGACTGGGTCAAGAACATAAGAACGGCCGTACTGGGTCAGACCAAAGGTCCATCTAGCCCAGTATCCTGTCTGCCTCCTGCCCTCCCCTCTGCTGGGCCCTGCGGCCGGGATTCGGCGCCCCCTACAGGATATGGGGTGTCACAAGGGCTCCACTTCCTCTGACTGTTCTGGGGGTGTCATTTAGAACATAAGAACGGCCGGACTGGGTCAGACCAAAGGTCCATCTAGCCCAGTATCCTGTCTGCCGACAGTGGCCAGCACCAGGTGCCCCAGAGAGGCTGGACCGAAGACAATGATCAAGCGATTTGTCTCCTGCCATCCCTCTACAGCCTCTGACAAGCAGAGGCCAAGGACACCATTTTATCCCCTGGCTAATAGCCTTTTATAGACCTAACCTCCATGAAATTATCTAGCTTCTCTTTAAACTCTGTTATCGTCCTAACCTTCACAGCCTCCTCTGGCAAGGAGTTCCGCAGGTTGACAACACGCTGTGTGAAGAAGAACTTTCTTTTATTAGTTTTAAACCTGCTCCCCATTAATTTCATTTGGTATCCTCTAGTTCTTCTATTATGGGAACTAATAAATAACTTTTCTTTATTCTCCCTCTCCACACCACTCATGATTTTATAGACCTCTATCATATCCCCCCTCAGTCTCCTCTTTTCTAAACTGAAAAGCCCCAATCGCTTTAACCTCTCTTCATATGGGACCCGTTCCAAACAACTAATCATTTTAGTTGCCCTTTTCTGGACCCTTTCCAAGGCCATAATATCTTTTTTGAGGTGCGGAGACCACATCTGTACACAGTATTCCAGATGTGGGCGTACCATAGTTTTATACCGTCATTTCCTCTGACTGTGCCTTGGAGCTGTTCTGGGGGTGTCAGTGAGACCCCGCATCCCTCTCTGGGGCAGGAGCCTGGCTGGGTTGGGTCTTGGCTGTAGCCACAACGATGGATTTTCTTTTTGTAGAGGAAGCCACCCTTGCATGCCCCAAGGATCCAGGTGTTCCCACAGCCCGCTCACTCCCTGGGTTACCAAAGGGCAGAGGGAGGTTTATGTGGAAATAATCCCAGGCCAGATAGAACCAGAGTCGGTGGCTGTGGGCAGAACGGCACAGGTGCAGGACGGGGACTGGAACGAGGCTCCCAAGACGCAGACGGCTGCTGCTCCAGCCAGGGGGCCTTGCCGGGGGCTGTGAGAATGGCGCTTTCCCCCGCTTTCCCGGCTGGTGGCCATTACAAGGCAGCACAGCCCCACGCCATCGGCCCAGTCTGAGTCACACGCCCTGGGGATGCCTCCGCAGCCTGAGCACACCTGTCCCCCGTCGCTACTCACGGGGAGCGAGCGTCACACCTAGACACTCAGTCAAACAGTCATACAGGCAACATCCCGGACACGTCTCCGGGGCCCGGCAGGGTGGAAAGCCAGACCTGGATTCCTGCGCTTACCGCACATGGGCTCAGCCTAGGAGCTTGAAGGGAGTTAGCGCCTCTCTCAGTGGCCCGGGGTCCGGACGATGCGCTGAACTGATCTCTGTGTGTGCTCGTTCCCGGCCCAGGTGGTACCATGCCAACCTGACCCGCCTACAGGCTGAGCATATGCTGATGAGGGTGCCCCGGGACGGAGCCTTCCTGGTGCGCAAACGCAGCGAGCCCAACTCCTATGCGATCTCCTTCCGGTGAGTGTGAGCTGGCCAGGCGGGGCCGGAGATGCCGGAGCTAGAGGTGCAGGGTGTGCTGCGGCCTC